GTGGGTTTCTCTGGCCAAGTGGGGATTCGGACCCTGGTCTCCCAGAGTCCTCTGTACCATATTGGCTCTATTCTAAAAGCATTAGAAAGAGTGTCTGCATGGAGAGGGAGCTCCTCCTGACCCCCAAAACCCATCTTAGAAGCCGGAGCCATACCAGCTGGAGGGGCTTTGCAGCGTTGCTGGGGGGGGGGACACTGAAGGATGGCAGCCCAGCCCCCTCCCCCAGCAGGTACAGTTGGTACAGGAACCCTCCTAGCCATTGGATCAGAGGTCAGGGGCTGGACACATTCATTCTCCTTCAGATAAGTTCCTCCAGGAAAGTGCACCCAAGAAGAAAAATAGGAGACATTCGAAAAGCAGGTAACAGGAGGATGGGACTTTACTGACAGTGCCCAATGACACAATCGCACACACCTTGGGACCCAGCCAGCGACCCCTGTCCACATGCCAAAGGCACCGGTCAGCCAGTAGGACTCACCACCCGCCAACTCGCCGCCTCTGTGAATGGGGAAGGAGCTGCCAGCTGGCAAGGGGGCACCGTAGTGACCTCCAAGTCCTCCACCCACGCACCCTGTATATGCTGGGAGTGGGTCAGCTCCACCACCCTGGGCTAGCTAGTTCTCATCGGCCACCAGCTGGAATTCCTTCCCAACTCTGAGCCCCAGTGCCCTGGCATTGATGCCCTGGCCATGCCCTGCAGGCAGAAATATGGGTCTGGACACCAAGGCATCAATGCCAGGGCCCCCCTTCACCCCAGCTGCTGAGATCCCTTGCTCCATACCTGTGTCAAAGGCCATGAAAGCCTTGCCCACCTGAGGACTCAGGGTCCCCTTGGCCTTCTATAAGGAGGAGGTGGCATACCTCACCTGAACGGCCCCCAAGGTATCCCTCCCACGATCGAGGCTGTATGAGGAAAGACTGCCCTCCTTCTGTGTCCAGGGCTCTTGATTCGCTGGGCATGGCAGGCTGACCAGTAGCCAGGAGACATGGCGGAGAGGGGCCACACGGAACGTCTTGCAGACACGGTAGACGGGGGGCTTCCTGACCCACGGCCCTTGAGGCCCAGCTGCCCGCAGTTGCCGGTACCTGAGCCCCTGAGCACCTGGCGAGGCTGGCTTGCACCGGCGCAAATGCAGCCACCCCAAACAGCAGAGCCCAGCCAGGGTGGGCAGGACCACCAGCACCAGGCAGGCCAGGTACAGCACCAGGCGCAGTAGGCAGCAGTGGCGTGCCAGCCGGGCTGACCAGGTCACTGGGGACTGGCGACGACGGGTTGCCCCGTGGCTTTGGACTGGCAGGGCAGGACATGAGCAAGTGGCAGGGGTCTCAGGAGAGGGCAGCGTGGGAGGGAGGCTGGCGGAGGCAGGATTTGAGGTGCCCGATGGGGTCTCCCCACGTGTGGTTGATGACC